TCTTCCGAGGTCCCTTCCAGCCCTAATGTCTATGAAATCTATGAAATTCCACAGGTAGCAGAGCCTGCTGTTCTGTATGCAAACACAAAATGGAATTCAAAACAGAACCAGTCCAATTTTGTGCTATCCACAACCAAGGCACACTGATGGGCATGATTATCAGGATGAGCGCTACTCCAACTGACCACTGTGTAGACTGCGCACAAGTGAATCTCATGAGGAAGGGATATCCTCACAGAAACCCTTCACTAGGACAGGGAAGAATTTCTGTGATCAGGTTCATGGGCAGAACTGCCTTACCTGCATCACTAGGCAATAGCTTGTTTACATCCCTGCAGTACCAACACTAGTGGCTCACATACAAGGGGAATGAGCGGAAACTGTTTGAGTCTGTAATGTAGAAGCACCCCCTCCCCACCCAACCCCTTGGGGTTCCAGTTCTCTCTCTCCCCATACCAGCTTCTTCCCTCTCCTGAATATGTAGCCGATACTGACACCTCCAGCCCCAAGGTAACCAGCTGCCTCTTCCTATTGAACTGTAGCTCCTGGAAGTGACAGCTGAGCTGGTTCTCTCTTTTTAATATATATTTTATTTATTTGCAGACTTCATGAAATGCCCCGACACCTGCAATAGCAGCAAGAAGCCAGCTCTCCTTGGAGCACTGGTATAACTGGTTCCCAGAAATACCTCTCTCCCTTGTGACACACTGCCCTGCAGAAATCACAGGCTGCAGTGTCAGTGAAGATCAACTGGTGGAAGGGCACTGGAATTATGGAATTGGCCCCTAGCCACAGCCTGCATCTGTTACTTGTACCAGCACAGTGCAAAGCCATTCCTTGCCCTTGTCCTTCAGGACTGCTAGGAAGGGTGCGACTGAAGTGACTCTAGTTTGCTGATGTTTATGATACGGATTTCCCGTTACTGAACAGGGGCCCAGAGCACTGGGCCACAGAGCTGGAAGTGGCTTTTAAATGTCTGAGGAAAATAAAGTTTGCGTTTTATAGAACAAGTAACATGTCTGCCACAACTGCTTTGCAAACAACCTCTCTTCACTGCAATATTTTTAATGAGGATGTTTGCAGAAGGGAGGAGCTCTTCTGGTTCAAACGCTGAAAACTAGGCCACACCAAAACTCAGATAACAGTATCAGCCTACATGCCACATATCCCCACAGGAACGTGGGGTGGCCAGTCCACAACACATTAACAGCCTATCATCCCAGCGTACAAGGCCAGAACCTCAGGGCATGCTGAAAACTGTGGGGTCCCCAGGCTCAGGGCAGGCTTAGGTGGCAGCTCTGCCATGCAAGTCCCTGCACGAAGTCAATCTCAAGGCTGGCGTTACTGGGGAAACTAACAGGAGAATCAGTTTCACTGAACAGCTAGAGTCCAGGGTGCTTCCCATTAGCTGAAGCTTGAGTTTCAGGTCTCACTGGGTCTACACGTTCATTAATGCACTTTTGCTACTGAGCATTAAATTTAGTACCTCTAATGTGAGGTACTAACAAAACATGCATTGGGCTGCCCTAATGAGCAGTAGCAAAAGCACATGCGCAGTAGCTTAATTTTACTGTGCATTAACACATTAGCACGGTTTTTACCATGATGCTCTAATGTGCAGTAAAATAGGTTACGGTGTGTTAAAATGCATGTGTACATATGCCCACTCAGACCAAAAGGAGGGGAAATCCCCTGAAGTTCCCTGTGCATTAGAAACCCTGCTTTTCAAACAGCTCTGCTTCAGAAGAACTTACATGCGACCCTCCCCACTCTTACAAGGAAAAACATATGAGAGCAAATTCCACACCAGCTCCTGACATATCAGTCATTAACCATAGACAGTATCAATGGTCCAAATATTATGCCTCTTCAACATCCTGCATGCTAAGAAGAAACAAATATATATTTTTTTAATTGTGCATCAGGCCAAATCAGCCAAATCAGTTCTGAATTCCATTGGCTGAGCAGAACTCAGATGTTCAAGTCTGTGTGGCACTACAACTGGCAAGTATCCTCCCTCCCAGACCCGTCAGCCTGGAGCTTCAGATACTTCCAAATCCATGGCAGGCATCCTATGCGCAGGCTCCAAGTCTGAAGGTCTTACGGTTCAGATACCCCCCGAGTCTCGCTTGCCCTTAGCCCAAAGGCCAAAGCAGCAAACTAGGGAGAAATCCCACATCAGTTTCTCCTCACTCTTAATTACTCCTTTATCACCCAGTAGCCAGTAACCCACTGGTTCTCTCGGGCTACCACCCATGATACAAGACGTTATCTTATCTCCTCTTCACATTTTTCTCTTCTTCCTCATTCCCATCTTACATTCCCAAATATTTCATGCTGCTCTGCTGGTTTTGTGCACACTGCAGTTCACTGGCTAGATGTTCCTATTTAGCTCCAAGCTGCCTTTTGAACTTTAGCAGTTAACCACTGCCTTCCCTGCTCTGCTGGTTCTCTCATTTGGCAATACTCACGCTTCCAGACTCCTATGACTGCTGATGAAGCCTCTGGGATGAATCTAAGCATTTAACCCTTCCTCATTTTTGGCTTTAGGGCCTTTCTGATGAGCTTCCAAACTTGAAGTAGCTCTTTGCAGAACTTAGTGTCACCCAGACTTTTTCATGCCTCCCACCAAAAAAGGCAGGTCCACAGAAGCAATGTGGCTATTGCTTACTGGCCACATTACTGAAAATTTATGAACCAACTCCTTCATTTGGATTTAGAACTAAGCCATGACACCTGCCATCCTTGTGGCCTCTTGAACTAGCCACGACCCATTCCTAGGTTTTTTTGTTTTTGTTTTTAACTTGCTGAGAAACTGCTCCTCAAACCATGTCCCCATGCAACTCCCACTGATCATCTTGATAAGCAAGTTACTTATGATGATGAAATTACATTTAGTTACTTCATTAACATCCCTCCACAGGGCACATAACTTTCCACAATCTGGAAGCCCGTGTCAGAACCCTTCCAGATTCTTTGTAGCCTCATGACACAGGTGTGTACTACCTATACTGGTTTGACAGTATGATCTCCCACTCCTCAAACTGAATCTCTGTGGGACAGATTCTCAGGTATGAGATTTCTCCCCACCTCTACAGCCATCAGTGGTTCTTAGCTGACCCTCATTGCTTTATTTGAAGTCTCCAAGAGTCTTGCAGTCTTCAAGGTAGTCATCATTACAATGCCCCATTACATAGCTGGAAAGCTGAGGCAAAGAATGCTATATCACATGCCCAACCTGACACAAGGAGTCTGGGGCAAGTCCAAGTCAGATAAGTCCCAGGTGGCACCTGCCACACTACACCATCCTTCTTGACCACCTTCTCCCTCTTATCTGATGTGGGGATGGGGGGAAAACTGTTGTGCACAATTTCTTGATAGCTCTGGTGTTGGCTTTCTTTTGGGGGAAGCCACTATTCCATCCAACCATCCAGGGTACATGAAGAACACAGCCTCCTTTACTTCAGCCTGAAGATGGGGGCCATCTATGGGAGTTTGCCTATCCCTATATTCTGCCTTGGTCCTTTCTCCATCCAATCACAGGCCCAACTTCCTCAACTGGGGGAGGATTCTTAGGAGGGCCTATTCCAAAGGGTCTTTACTTCTCAAAAACTTCAGCCACATACCCTACAGTCAATGCATGCCCACTCTGCATTAATATAATCCAACCTAAATCCTAAATTCCAAGCAGCAGCAGAAACCAAGACGCTAGCCAAAACTAGTACTTCTGAGAAAAGATTTAAAGACACAAAACACTCTTGGCTAAGCCAAGCCCCATCCTGCTCCTCTGGACAACCACACAAGTTAAGACGGGCATATGGCAACAGTTGTGCCAACCTGCCTATTCCAGCACATGGTCCTTCCACTAGCACTTTCATTAGATGTCACCCTTGGCTTCATGGAGCACACAAAAACCAACTTATAACCAGTGACACTTGCTACTTTTCCAAGTGCAATTCATCTGATTCAGAAGATTCCTCAAAAAATCTCACACCTAAAGCTACCCTATAAACTCCTTAAAAAGTCTTCAGTTCAGCTACTGTGATGTGGAACCCCCTCCCCACTTTAGTTTGGGAAAGGCAAAAAGCAGCTGGCAACATTTCACTTGCAGTAGTCAGTGACATAAGTCTTTAGCGACAATGAATTTTGGTACTAGATGAGCAATTCAAGCCAGCAATTCTGTCTCAGCAATAGCCCATTATCACAAAATGACTGTGTCTTTGTCACAAGACACGCACAGCATCAATATGCACAAAGCACAATTCTTCATCCAGCCCCTAAAGCTGCTCCTCAACTGGTGAGAAAGTCTGGCACTTATTGAGCGAGCCTTTCAAAGGCCTCTGGCTGCAGGCCACAGAAGCGTTGTTTCCTCTCAATTCTTCAGAGCTACCTGTGAATTCCACCACAGCCACAAACAGCAGGTGATGTTGTCACATCAAGGAGTGTTAAGCTGGTGCCACCCCCTCCCTGCTTACAAAGAAGCTGACTTCTGAGCCACTAACTCAGACACAAAAAGTGACATCTATGTTGGATCCTACAGGGTATGGTAGTGAGTACAGAGCCAAATTCACTGTTGGAGCACAGGTTTTAACACAGCACGTGGCAACAGAGGAGAGGAATGAGATTCCCTTCCCCACTCCCTTCAACATCTTCCTTTCTAGACTCATTCCCAGGGCACATATGATTTAAAAAGGCAATGTGGTAGAAAACCCTAAATACAACTTTGCTCTGAAAAATTTGCTTCAGAAAGAAAACTGTCCATACCACCAGGGACCACCTCCCATCCTGATGAGAATTTGTATAACCCAGCAGAATCAGTCTCAGCCTCCCAACAGATGTGCCACCTCTGCAGGGCTGACAGGACAGAAGCAGTGAAATCCACCCAACACCTTTCTACCCAGCCACACTCAGGACAACCCCGACTACACCCCACTGATGCATGCTGCTTTGAAAAGAGCCATTTTTAGTCACTTTTCAGACAGAGCTGCTGGGCAACTAACCTTTTTGCGACGGGAGCCCTTCTTGCTGATACAGGACCTCTCCAAGGACAGGTAGCCACCGATCACCTCAATCTCGTGTGCCTTGGGGTAGCGTGTTTTCAGCAGGGGCCCTGGTGGGGAAGCATCAGTGCTCCTGCAGGGTTTGGGCCTTCCTCGAATCTCCTCCTCATCCTCCACTCCCTCATTTTGCTGGACTCTGCTGCCATCAGTGAAGGTTGCCAGACCAGAGACAGGAGGCTTCCTTTTGGGTACTACAGTGAATGTGTAACCCCCTCTCTGAGCAAAGCCTGCGGAGGCAGGGTGGGGTCGGTAGAAGGGCACCGCAGAAACCTCCATCTCCGTACCCATACCAGAGGCAGCATCTCGAGGCACAAGTAAGTCCTTAGTCCCTGCAGCTGCACCAGGCACTGAAGCCAAGTCTCCAGGCTCTGGCTCAACAATGTCATCATCAATGTAAGTCACCGGCACCAGAGGCTCTGGAGATGCTTTTGGGGGAGTGACAGGCTCCCTCTGGGCCTCGAAGGCAGCTGGCGAGGGCTCTTCCTGCTGCCCACGCTCAGGCTCTGAGGACAGCGGGATGTCCGTCCTCAAGCTCTCAGCGGGAGCCGGCGGACACGGGTCCTTCGCCCGAGAGGGCACGACTAGGAAAGAGTTGCGCGAGTTGAGGCGTAGGTTGGCCAGGGCCTGCGCCTGGAGGTCATGGGCAGGGATGGCGGCCAGGTCCGGTTTGGGAGACGGGCGGATCTCGAAGGAGCCGCTGCTGGCCTTGGGTGCGGAGGCAGAGAGCAGCTGGAAGGCGCCGGAGGTGGCACTGGAGGGGGACGGGCTGGCACAGGGTCGAGGGGACTGGGTCCCTTCAGCCCCCTCAGGCTTTGGCCGCTGCATCTTGGCTCGGGCAATGGGGGCGCTGGGCGATGGCACCGGGGGCACCTTGGCCACGGGCACGTGGGCGTGGGGGCTAGGCTCCGAGGGGCCGTTGGCGAGCAGTACCGGGGGGCGGCCGCGCGGGGTCACGGTGAAGGAGTTGGAGCCGATCTTGTGCAGGAA